GCTCCCCCATCCCTCATGAGCCCTTGATAATTTATAAATTATTATTTTGTCATATCTTGCCCTGTCCGACGTCTCCCTTCACCCACTTTTCTGTTGTTCATCCCCCAGGGAGGAGGTCACATATAGCTCCTTGTAATCGGTTCCCTCATTTTTTCCTCTCTTTTTAAAAATTTATTTATTTATTTTTATTTTATTTTTTCCTCTCTTAACAGGTATTTGCCAGTGAGCCCTGGTGACGTTGTAAGTTCCTCACTGGGCTGCTAACCTCAAGGTCAGCAGTTTGAAACCATCTGATGCTCCACTGGATAAAGACTAGGCTTTCTATTCCCACAAAGAGTTAAGAGTTTCAAAAACTCAGTGGCAGTTGTACTCTGTCAGATTCAACTAGATGGCAGTGATTTTTTGAGAACAGAGAATGACATACAGTCACACTTTCTGAGTGTGCTAACAGTTAAGGCACGTGCCTACTAACCGAAAAACGGTAGGTGGTTTGAGTCCCCCCACAGGTATCTCAGAAGAAAGACCTGGTGGTCTTACGCTGAAATAGCAGCTATTGAGAACCCGTGAAGGACAGTTTCACTCCAAGCCACACGGGGCGCCATGAGTCGGACTCGACTCCAAAGTACCCTGTTTGGTTGGGTTTGAATGTTGAATGAGTCTTAATTCGTAATCAGCTGTGTCCAAAAGTAGTGCTTCCAGTAATGTCAATAACAAGTGGTGCATGGAACACGAAAGGGCTAGAGTAAAGAGAGCTTCTTCTAAAGCGTCCACCCCACCTCTTACGAATTACCTTTAGATTGACAGAAAACTCTCAGGTAGTGCAGAAAGCCCTCTTATGTCCCTCCCCTGCTTCCCACCATCCTTGCCATCGCACATTAGGAGTGAACAGGTCTGATTCCTGGGGGACATGAGATATCAGGGAAAACCATTGGCAGAGTTCCCAGGAAGGCTTTCCTTGACCCAAAGAGAGCACCCCATGACACAGCTGTCTTTCTCTGGACGTTTTGTGTCTGAAGGTAATGCTCTGACAATAGCAAGGATGGCAGAAGGGAGTCATGGATCAACCAGGATCCTTGGTCATGTTCCCACTGCCTGGGCCTGATCCAGAGCCTTGCACCCTTTGGCCTCCCTATCAGAGAGTTAACCAATGGCCCAATTGCTAAACGTCACTTAAAGTTGTGGTTTCTGTTGCTTGGGGCAAAGGGTTTCCTAACAGCAATCTAGCTGCAAAGAGAATTGTTATAGCCCTTTGTGATCTAAATGGAGCCCTGGTGGCATAGTGGTTATGCACTGGGCTGTCAGCAGAGAGGTCATCAGTTCAAAATCACCAGTCACTTCCCAGGAAATAGAGGTGGCTTTCTACCCCCGTAAAGAGTTACAGTCTTGCAAACCCACAGTAGCAGTTCTACTCTGTCCCATAGGGTCGTTATGAGTGGGGATAGACTTGATGACAGTGACTTTGTCATATTACTTCTCCGTGACAGACAATCTTCTTCAATATACATAATAAATCTCATGACATTAGAGTTAGCTATTTCTGATGACATTTTAAGGGACAAGTACGTTTTCAGATTTTTTTTTT